GCCTCGCGTTTCACTGTATCAAATGCCCTGGTGAAATCAACAAAAAGCGAATACAACGGCGGTGTCATTCTCTGCACTTATCTTGCAACTGACGAGCCGCAAACACGATATATATGGTGCTGTGAACCGAACGACCATTCACGTTGCTCGTTTGCCACTTTCAGCTCCACAAGCTGAGTAACGAGGCAGCTGAACAGAATTCGGGCAATATTCTCGGTCGCACAACTCAGCTAGTTGATACTATGATAATTTGTGGCACACTGCTTGCTTCCTTTGCCCTCGTACAGTGATAGCACAAGCGCAGCCTTCAACTGAGGAATCAACTCCTCCTCAATCCACACGCATTGCACTAAGTAGTGCAGCGCAGTCATCAATACGGGTCCGTCGTGCTTCAATACTTCAGGCGGGATCCCGTCGGCATCGGCTCACTTTCCGTTTCGCAGCTGAGCAAGTGCTCTCTGCGTCTCATCCAGTGTCGGCGTGTACGCCAAACTCACCTTTACCACTTGCTGCTTCAGGCCGTTCAAAGTAGGTCAGTCAAAATCTGAACAGTTGTTCAGGAAAATGTCAGTGTTTTGCTAGATGTGCATTATGTCTGCAGTCTGTGTGCAGGTAGTACCTGAACTAGCCTCGATCAGCGTCCTCAACGGCTCCAATCTCCGTCCATACACCGCCTTCAAGCAGTCGAGGAATTCTCTGTGTCTGCGTTCGTTGAGGCATTCTAACAGCCCCGCATTCTCTGTCTACCATAAATGAGTAATGCGACAGAGCGCTCGAGTCAGTCGTCGTCGAATTCTGTGAAACTCACTCTTCTTCCCCATATCACTGGGGTCTACCACATTTGCAGCAAATGGTGCGTTCTTCTCCGACACCAATGCGCCAATCGTCGCATTTTCTCATCAAAGCAATCAGGTCGCTTGCAGTTTGCGCGCCCAATGATCTCCTCGGCAGCAGCTGTCACTTGGTTGCTAATGTGATGCTACAGGTCTCCCACTGTGGCTATGCAGTCCACATCACACAGACGTGCAGCCGTCGCCTTCTCCAGCTCAATACGTTTCGCCACAGTACCGAGAGAGAGAATGCCAAATTTACGCAGATTCACGACGGGAGTGCAATACGCAGATTTAGGAAAATATATATAGAGATTGGTCCTCACCAATTTGTGATCAGTGTCACACTCAGCTCCACACAGTGCACGTGTCATGCGCACTTCATGCATATCACGATGACGTACGATTACATAGTCGAGCAGGTGAGCGTGACCACTTGGTGGGTGCGTCTGAGTTGCTATATCACTCGCACTCAGTACAAACCGAGTGTTCGTGTTCGTCAGGTCGTGAGTGGCACACAGTGAGAGCAGCCAGTCACCGTTCGCATTCGCTGAACCAATGCTATGCGGACTGATGACATCTGTCCACCTCGATGCATCAGAACCACTGTGCGCGTCGTAATCCCCCGGTAGGGATAGTCGGTCCATCCTCTGCATAGACCGTATTACGGTGAATAACTGAGTGTATAATCGATCACGCGTGTCATCAGGATAACACATGCTCGGAGCGTAGTGCTTATAAAAGTAGCAAACTTACCTCTCCCGGGTCTTAGACGAAATGTCATGAGTCGCGCGCTGATGCCTGTTGGTTCACCCACCAGCTGGCCATGGAGGCGATCGGATATTGCAAATCCGACCCCATGATCAAGTGGTGCTGAGGCGGTGTTGTCCACCCAGTAGAATGTGTAGCCAGCACCAATTACATGTCGATCCATATATATATATATATATATATATATATATATATATATATATATATATATATATATATATATATATATATATATATATATATATATGGTTGGCGGCATCCGGTTTCGGATTTGCCTGTCACTGTGGCCAGCCACAGGACGCTTGCGCCTACAGAGGGACCATGGATGGCTTGCGCTCACCACCCACAGCTGCAACCATACACCCCATATCCAATGTAAACCCGAAGGAATAAGACCGGGAGGCATGTGGATGGGAGCCACGTTTCATCAACGGAGCCGGCCCACACTCCTTCACTGGTAAACACAAGCACGCTGTATTTGGGAAATCAAGCGCACACAAGGCGGTGGCTGAATCGTAGTCCGCTCCACACTGAGTGCATGGAACCACTCTTCGAGCCTAGCACTGCGAAATGCACAGTGCACCCCGTCCCCTCCAGCAACGACCAACTGTCTCCTGGAGCCAGTATGGACTAGATAGTGGGTTATAGACAGGTAGACACCTTGTCTACATGCACATCAAGCGCATCCACACCGGGGATATCAAGCAACAGCCAATCACCTGGAACGACAAGATGAAAGAAAACAAATCCAGTAATGCATACAGATACGGTGGCATAACTCTTCGCTAAATTAGCAAATGAAGTTAGTTGGTTAGCAACGAATTCGCGCTAAGGAAAAAATGTCCACAATTAGTTAAAAATGCTTCAAACGCAACGAAGTTTCCGAAGATAAGCGCAATTAATGTAAGCAACGTGGCCAGTTAATAGAAGAGTATTCAGATAGGCAGAGCAAACCAAATAAAGTGGAATGAAATTTAGCCAGGTTAGAAAGACCTAGTTTAAGTGTAAGTTGGTTCAGCCCAACTGCGGTGAAGAAGCATCAAGAATGCAACATTAGCCTCAGCATGGGCAATATATATATATATATATATATATATATATATATATATATATATATATATGCATACATATATACATATATATATCCGGTGAACCGCAATCCTCAACTGTGGATGCTATCCACCATAGCTGATCCACCGTGCTGTATCGCAGATTCGCAACACAACATACTCCCCGTGCATGCATCCGCGTCCAGGATTAGCACGATCCTCATTAAATGCGATTGTTGTGTAAGCCATCGTCCGGGTGCGAGTTATATTTTTGTTGGTCGTTCTTGAGTATTATCTGTTACCGCATTACGTATCAAGTTGCTGATCCACACCATATCCGTACCTTCGAACAATAGCGACATTTTTCTCCTACTTGTCAGAAGAATGATCATTGCTCTTGCGTATGTATTAGGTTGTCCCGAAATCAGTCGAATTTTTAGCGTACTTTTTCAATCAATATTTATTTCAAACAAGCGATGATATGTATTCAACGTAACCTCCATTGTTATCGACGGCGTACTGTTAACGCTTAGGCAAGTTGTCGATGACTCGCTCATAGAACGAGCTTGGCTGGCTGCCAAAGTATTGCTCAAAGTATGTTTCGAAATGGTTGCCCCTCATGGAATCTCTTGTCCTTGATGTAAATTTGCAGCGAGTGGTATAGAGGTGGTAATCAGTAGGAGCAAGGTCCGGGCTATTTGCTGCATGCATATGTGTTTCGATACCCAGCGGCTGAATTTTGAGACGCGTCATTTTTGCCACATGAGGACGTGCGTTGTCATGCAGGAGAATGACTCGGGTCGCTTTTGGACGCTTTTTTGGTGTTTTTCGATCATCTTTTACAGTTGTTCGCAGTAGACATAGGCCGTAACAATGGAGTTGTCAAGTAGCAATTCCCAATAAATGACGCCACGGCGATCCCACCAGACCAAAAGCAGCAGATTTTTGTCGTGCAGTTTGCCTTTCGGGACTTGTACGGGTGTTTCATCTGCTCCGATCCACTGACTTTTCCTGCCATGGTTGACACGGGACACCCACTTCTCATCTCCAATAACGACATCGTTCAGTCCTCGATTATTGCATCCTCGGGTGTGCAATGAAAGTGTACTGGCACAACGGTTTTTGAATCGGTCATCAGTCATCAGTCGACTCGGGGTCACCATTGGAAATTGTTTAAACAAAGGAGACTTCGGGTCCGTTGTGACGTCACTCTGTCTACCAGAGTAGTGAATGAATGGAATAACCTACCTGTGTATGTCGTTGATGCGCAGTCGGAGGAATGTTTCAAACATCAATTGGATTCTTACCTGTTGAGTAAACTCGGATCTTGTTGCTTCTTGTGTCAATGTAGCGGTTCCATTGGTACCGACTTTCAATGTCCACCATGATCCCTGTGAGGAACGGGAGGCGATGGAGCTGACAAAAGAGTTCTCCTTCTGCTCTCTACATTCAAATGATCCAATGATCAGTCGATCCGTGTGATACAAGTTGTCCGAGCTTTGGGAGCTTTCCGGATTGGCTCAGATGGCGATGAACGGTGGTTATTGGAAGACCATGTTATGACAAGACTTCACTCATACTTTGACTCGGATCCTCCCTTAGAGCATCCTCGATGTTGCTGTCAATATCCACCGGCTTAGGTCCTTGGCCTCTGATGTTGGACAAATCGTAGTTGCCTACGTTGAATCGACGAAACCAAAATGCCACCATATCGTAACTCGGAGCATCCGTGGCGAGTACGCCATGGATGTTTCGACAAGTCTCGATTGCTTTGCGCCCTTTTAAGTAATCTTATATTAAGTATCCGCGAACAGCATGTTGATCGTTAGCCAATAACGCAGGCATTGCTAAAGTGTAAAAGAAATGGACCACGGCAGATCATTGCTCCAGTGTGTCCCCGTATATGCCTACATAAAAGAAGCTTCAAGAAACTTCTAGAAAATTCCGGAATGGAATTCAAAAAGCTCGATTGATTTCGAGACTACTTAACATATATGGCACGGTGTAGTCACAGACGGCGAATTCGTATTCGCTGTTGAATCGAATCGCGGCAACGAGGCGCTCGGATCAGTTACTCTCATTCAGTAATTGTTTAACTAACAACTTACTTGGGAGATCATTAGGTAACGTTTTATGCAAAGTTAGAGGGCCTAGAAAGTTTATAGATTAAAAGATTGATCACAGACACCGCGAAAACCTCTTCCCTTTACGTTTAATGTAGTGCGAATTGCCTGAAGCATTACTGCCCCATCTCCTATGTATTCTCCAAAAGACAATTTTGTCTGTTATGGGCAAACATTTTTATTCTCAAGCTTAGTTTCAAAGTACACTGCTGTGTTACATTTTTCAGATGTTTTTCCGAGGTGAACTACAAAACTGTATCCAATTATGGAAAATCCAAATACGAGTTCGTAGACCTATGGCCCATATGGTGGACGCTAGAGCCTTCTCGCAATCTATCGTACATGTCCAGTCCAATAATAACAACAAAAGTTTTGCCCAATTGGCGGATAGCCCAGTTTATTTGTCAAGTGCATGTTTGTATTCAAGCGAACTGCGATACAGTAAGTCCATTAAACGTACGTTCACTTGTCCATGCACACTCATCCGCTTCTCACCTCATCGTGTTCCATTAACCCTGTGTAGACTGATGGAGCTGATATTCGCAGCTTCCCCCGGTAATCGACAATGACGGATCACATTTCAATCTTAACTAGTAAAGAATGGTGCATAGAAATACATATCGCTTCTACCGCAAGGCAGAATCACATTGCTGTACTGCCGCCAAACACAGTCACTACTAGCCGGTCGAAAGAGTGTAGGCGACACACATTTCGTGGTAAAGGCCCAGCTGTTGGTTGCCTCGGTTTAGCACTTTGTAAGCTATTGAAATAATTAATAGTTATAAAAATGGGCAGTGGATAACAGTTTATCACGTTTGCAATAAGTGCGTGACAGATCCTGTGGAACAATCAGCGCCAGAACAGCATATTGATGGATCTAGTTAGATGCTGGACTCAGATCAAATGTAACCGCGCCTACATCTAGTTCACAGGAAAATTAGACGAAGACATCGTCCGGTTACTTTACGTCATCATCACATGTAAAAGAGCTAGTGTGTCGTCAGTTTGCTTTTCGATGGTGATAATATGGGGGAGTAGAAGTAAAGTGGCTTGGAAAATGACTTTAGGCCACATCCTAACCGGCCATGCTTTGATCCCAACTTTGGCTTGTAACCACTGATACTAGTACTAATACCACGTGCAGTTCTCAATACCCGAGCAACTGTGTTTGTGGCGGCACAGAGCAATATGCACAAAAATAACAATACTGTAGTAATAGGAGATAAGCACATGCAACATATTAAGGCATGAGATTCATGTAATAGCAGTTTAGTGTTTGGTCGATATGAAAGAGAGTTCGGAAGCGTTGGTGGCAAATCTTATTAGTTGTGGGTAAACACGATTTAAAGCCTTGTGTATCTGCTGTAAGTTTGTGAGCTCTCACCTTAGACTCCGATACTATCCACTTTACACAGGCCCTTGATGTTCTAGTTGCCTCTGCTATGAATTCTCAAGTACAGCAATATCATGCTTCCAGTAAGACTGCCAGTCTCGCACGACGCACTTCACATATGTCCTTACCTGAGCATTGAGTGTTTGTGGAAAGCTGAGAGCGTTAAATCTTCCGAATACCGTCCACAGGAGCCTAACGTGTAGGTAAACATTTGTGATACATATCGGATATACTCGGGTAACTAAGTTCGTCCAGTACACGCAAGGCGAAATGGCTTTCATACAATGTGCGTCTAATAGATATTGCATCAATACTTTCTGGTGCACACTGTGCTAGCTTATGCTCAACACTACTCACTTAACCGTAATACACTGAGGCATGCTTTGTTGACTATGAAAGCAGCCTTGTTGCATTTACTTCGCAGTGTTATTTGACCGTCTGTTGTCTTGATAGCTCCCCAGAACTGGTGCTTAGTAGCATAAAATTTACGTTGTGGTATTCCCCCAAGCCAGCTCATTTATGAAAGTAAAGAAAAGTCTGACTTCAGTGTAGAAGCGCGTGGAATGCTACTCCGAATCTCGATCTTCCCAGGATGCGGCGGACTCTGACACTTGCGCAGCATGTAAAGAGAAAATTTCGCATACAACTCATAAGAGGGTGACTGAATAAGTAGGGATGGTGCTTGTAGAGAAAAATGTGCAATTGCGTCTTGCCACCTCGAGTTCTGCAACAGCACTGGATAACCCAATCCGAACAAAACGGACTACCCTTGCGATTTTTCTGCGTAAACATCCAAACTCACATAGGTGCTGCCCAGGCATAGTGACCGCATTTCTCCAAGTGTTCAATGAGTGCTTTCGTGTTAATGGCCTCTGGAATATTAGATGGCACCAGAAAGAGGTTGACCGGGAGCTAATTTGTGTGTCCATCACTGTTGTTCCGTCAGTAAGTAGACATGACGATAATATGCTTCCAGTTAGTGGCGAAACTACATTGTATCGTGGGACCGTTGAAAAAACACGACAGCATATCATCCATGTTTATTGCAACCAGTAGCAACGCTTATGGATGAAGATGCATGCACTATTATGATCGTGAGAGCTCAACGAAAAGCATCTGCCCAGTGCATTGGAGGCAATAAGGTAGATCTGATTAAGTCTAGTTGGTGTGGATTGTGAAGATATTAGGGAACGAGCTTAATAGCTATTCTTTATTCTTCCTATTTTCTACTTCTTGACTGTTGTTTAAACGCTCCACTGTGTTAGCCCGATTGGTACACACAAGTTGTTTTTAATGGACGCTCATCTCTGTGTCCATTTCAGCAGTGTCGTTTGCAAGAACACATTCCATTGGTTTGCTCCGCATCACTGTTCTACTTAGCTATGTTAAAGGAATATTTAGTTATCACACGATTATTGTACTAGTTTTTAATTTTCGGGTCTGCACTTCCTACTCTCGTTCGTTTCGTGACATTTGTTTAAACGCTACCTTTCGTTATTCTGATTGGCCAGTGCCCGTCACTGTAAATGGATATTCGCTTTACGCTCGGGGTCCCATGATGCAATTTGTAAGGACATACGCGATTCGCTCTTGAGTACACGCGTGTTCATTCACCGTTGCATTTTACATTTTCCGTTTGTTAGTTAGCTCAACTGTAATTTAGTAGCTTCCCTTCATTTTGCCTTCAAAACTATTTAAGTACATGTGGTTTCATTTTTCCGGCTCGTCTTTGGAATTCTTCTTGCGGTCGTGGGGCGAAGGCATCCGTGGCGATACGACAGCGGAGCAGGTAGGACGGCAGTGAAATCTGCAGTGCACGAATTAATTGTCGCCAATGAACAATTGCCGCATCTTGACCTAGCAATGAGAGTCCCCCAGGACTCCTGTTTAACACACGTCACAATTTCGGAGGCAAAAGTTCTCCATCTTCTTCAGGCTCTAAATCCTGCTAAATCCGCTGGGATGGATGATATCCACCCTAAGCTTCTGTACGAACTCGTAAGCGAGCTCTGTGGCCCAGTGACGCGTTTGTTTCAATTGTCGCTTCGCAGCTGCTCCTTTCCCAAGGACTGGAAGGATGCTATCGTCTGCCCGATTTTTAAAATGGACGACAAGCATCTCCCTGCCAATTATAGACCAGTAAGTTTGACAAGCGTACAGGTCAAGGTATTGGAGAAGTTGGTCAGAGATGTGCTTGAAGACCACCTGCAGGAGTTTGGTTTGCTCAGTCCACTGCAACACGGCTTTCGCAAGGGTCATTCCTGTATGACGAATTTGATAGTTACACGCGAATGTTGGGCGGATGCTTTGGATCGGGGTCATGCAGTAGATGTGGTGTTTATTGACTTCTCCAAGGTGTTCCACACTGTATCACATTCTCGTCTTTCCTTGAAACTCCGGTCCTATGGAATATCCGGGGGTGCACTAAAATGGATCACCACATTTCTGGAAGGGAGACAGATGTGTGTTCGTGTGGGGTCTAGTCTGTCTTTCCGACAGTCAGTTCTCAGTGGGGTCCCTCAGAGGTCGGTGCTTGGCCGTTGTTATTTTCCTTGTATGTCAACGAGCTGCCCGAACTGCTGGAGATATCATCTCTCATGTTTGCAGATGACCTAAAGTTTTGGCACATAGTGTTTGACTTCGATGGACCCCAGACTCTGCAACAGGCCCTCGATAAACTTTGGGACTGGGCTGCTCTGTGGCAGTTACCCATAAATTATACAAAGTGTTCCATCTTACGAATAGGGCCAAATAGCTCCCAAACACGTTATTTGCTTGGCGGTAATGAACTACACCATTTTACCCGATTGGTAGACCTAGGGGTCACATTATCTTCAGAAGTTAAATCCAGTGAGAACTGGAGGAAAGCTACGTGCAAGGTTTCAGAATGTTGTGGATGATCCGCAGGGCATTCGGGACCATCACGGGCGCTATGTTTGTTAGGTTGTTCTCTGCGTTTGTCAGGCCACACTTGGAATACTGCATCTAGGCTTGTCCACCTTGCTTAGTAAGGGACAGGATGTCAGTGGAGAGAGTGTTGAGCGTTGGAACCAAACTGGTCCATGGACTGCAAAACCATTCTTACCCAGAAAGACTACTTGCGCTGGGGACGTTCTCGATGCACTATCGTCAACATCGAGGCGACCTAGTCTTGACCTATCGTATACTTACCGGTAAAATCGGACCCGATTTATCCGAACTTTTCCAACCGGCTAGGCTTCCATCGCTCCGAGGTCACTCGATGAAGCTACACAAACCTCGATCGGATGGAGTCCGGGCGGACTTTCATTTATCACGCCGAGTGGTGGATTCTTGGAATGCACTGCCAGAGAACGTGGTATTGGCACTAACAGTGAAAGAGTTCGAACACCGATTCAACGCTCTTGGCCTTCAATTCTTAACATTCCCCTCCACGTCCTAGCTTATTCGTTTTATTGAGTTATTAAATCTATTACGTTTTTTTCTTGACGCTCTTATTACTTCGTACTTCTCTTTCTTATTCCACGTGACCGGTGCGGCGGGGACTGCCAGTGCAGATCGCGTGGCTATTAATTGGTTGACCGTGGTGTGATTCGCGCGCGCTGATTTGACTCTTCTGGATTCCAGTTATCGCGGACGAATAATACCCTGGATCAACGATGCGCCACGGAAGGAACATTCACGGGGATTTATCCTACTGTTCCGGTCCCACTTGAACTTGAACTAGTGACAGGAACTTCTCGGTACACACCGTAGATTGTTCAAATTTACCTGTAAGGCATTCGGTGGTTGGGACAGAATTTCAGTGCCATATTTCGGTGTTGTCCTAATTTATTCCCTCGTATCTACTCAGCAGTTGGACTCGGTTAAAACGATGCAACCTGTGTTCGGCATAAAGAGAACTGAAAAGCTAAACCTAGTTGCCAGTGATGCTCATGACATACGCAGTGAACTGGCAAACCGCTATTCAACCGCACGAGTCCAAAGTTATTAGTCGAGAGTAATGTTTCGCACCTAAAATAAAGTGAACTGAACAACCTATATCTTGGGTGCCTACTCGTAACTTCCATGAAACGTTTAAGAAACTCGTTTCACTTCCCTGTCATAAATTTTGTTGCAGGTGGTGTGCAATCAATCCAAAAACTCTCCAGTAAGGAGCTTACGGACTCACCTGCTGTCTGCCAGGTTGGAAATATTCCGGGTCACAGAAGCACAAAGTCAGTTATACTAGTTATTAATTGGCATTTTCAGTATTGTCTATGTCTGAATACTGCCAGATTTCAAAATTTGATATTGTCTGTTCAGTGCCAACACAATAACATGAAGATATATATAACACAACAGGTAGGGTGAGACCGAATCAAGCTAGGAAATAGTAGAGAACAGACGTGACACCCCTACGCCCAGGGCAGTCGTAGGCTTATAAACAACTGTTAATGCACACGAAACTCGGGTTTGATACGGCTGATCGCGACTTCTTCTGCAAAACATAGGAAACGGGTCTTAGCATGTCGCAACACGAATGTGAATATTGTGTCCGGCTCAAACGGATGACAGATGGCTAGTAAATGCCTACGTATGGATGAAGCAGATGGCCTACGTGAACAGGTGGCATGAGCAACTGACGACTGGGTGATTTGACGCTGCAACCATTTAGGTACATGTTCCATTATTGTGGAGTTCAACACTGTTAGTACGGCCGATGTAGCGTGTAACACAACTACAGGTAAATTGGTAAATATAATGTGAATTGTAGGCAAAAGGTTATCTTTCCGTTTTTGGGGTAACAGATATTCGAGTATTCCGGTTGACAAGAACAGTTCCAGTAGCATAATAAGTCCCCTTGACTGCGGAAATTATGCGCTCCGTTGTCCTCATTGGCAAAAGCACCATTAAATGGGAGCTGGATGTAGACCTACTTTTTAGAACTTGTAGAAACATTCTGCCCCGGCACCTTCGTCTGGGTTTTGCTTGTCGAGGAATCTTCTTGGATAGCCATTTTTCAACAGCGGATCCTTGAGCGCGTTTATCTCATCATCTAAAATGTCGATAGTGCATATTTTTCTTGCCCGGGTTTCCGAAGACCCATAAATGTGACAAACAGATTAGACCAATCTTGTCAATGGCAAACCCGGCACAACAGAAGTCGGCACCTTGGCTGGTGGAAGTTTTGAGTCGTTAAAACGGTAGACTATCCCATACTGTCTGAAGGACTCTTTCCGGCTCACCGAGACTGTAGATGAACTTCTCCGATAAAACCATGGCCTCATTGGATGTACAATCGCCTCTCATCAATGTTCCGTAACATGAAACAATTGATAATCTGTGTCTCAGGCTAAAATGGACCAACGTTTTAAATTATGCTCAAATTGATACCATCGCAGTGATTATATGGTTGCTTCTATGCATTAGAGTCTATAGCGTAAATATCAACCGAAAACCACGGGGTTTGGGCATAAATGGCAGGAATGTTTGGTACACGGCGCGAATAAATATTTATTCCTCCCGGATTCATCTACGTTCTCCTCTGGCCGTCTCGTTTATTTTACTACCAGTGTTTGGGCATTTGGAAAATTATACTTTATCGCCATCCAACTCTATCCTGCATTAATTGTCCGCTAGGTGGCTAATGGCACCCAGGTGTGTAGTAACAAGTCACCTAATCATTTGTAATAGGGATTGAGTGAAATGTGGCTCGGCAGCTATACAAGTTGTGCACTGATGTCTCGCACCTCCGATGTAACAGTTTACTACCAGTTTCGTCTTGTTCGGAATCTTAAATCTACCAAGGGAGCACTTAGTTGATTGTGAAATAGAACTAAACTGTTCCATCGAGGGGGGGGGGGCTTTTAGATTACCTGCTACATGAAAGACCGTTAATTGAGTCCATTTGAACCATGATATTCGCGGAAACCGCTGAAAGGTTAATTTAAAGACGCACAAATGCCTTCGAGAAATGCTCGGTTGACCTTCAGCTCGAAATTGCAATGAAGGAACAGGTAATCATCTGAAACGATGCATGAGGTGTCTTGTAAGGAATATGCGACGCAGGAGTGCCTATACGTAGGGATACATGGGTTTAGCGATCCAAGTGCCAGCTGATGGTTACCATAAATCTGCTTGGGAGAATATGCGCATTCTTTGTGTCTTAAAATTCTTTTGTGAGGAGTCTGTGTTTCAAACTTGCTTCCAGATAGGGAATCTTCATCCATGATTGTGCACCCATAAACACCTTTCTGTTTAGTGTATCAGAATAAGCATTGATTCGATCATGAATCCATAATTTCGGAAAGTTTGGAATGCGAATGAATTTTTATAAACCTTCATTTATCTTGTTCTCTTGCCTCACATTCTAGATACTTGTCAAATGATCATGTGTCTTAAAACGGAGTACTTAATGCTGGCTACATTCCTCTTGGTACTCCTTCATCTAATCGCCGTGACGCTGGTTTTGTTCCTCCGGCAAAAGCGACTAGGTCGCCGTCGCTGTGGTAATCATCGTCATATTCCCATTGCCGTGAAGGAACGCGATTGCAGGACCGAGGATAAAGAAGCGACTGATACGACAATATCATCGGACAGCCTTACTTATCCAATTCCGTGGGCTGATGGTCCAGAGAGCGCGGCTACCGCTGCGTATGTGTATAACCATTTTTACGCACCAAGCACTCCAATGCCTATTCTACCGTTCACTCGGAGTGCATACACCGACGCGGAAGCGTTCAAGACCTGTCCTCGCCTGCTGAGTGAACCTAGACAGTAACACCAGCCAGTTAATTGTGCGGAAGCTAGTTCGTTTGTCAACCAGTCGTCATTTTACCTTTAGACAATTACTTGTGTATTGAACACGTTGTCTTTTGGGAACATTCCTAAACACTATATAAGATTTCCAGTGTGTCACAATCAAATGCTCGTGTTACATTTGTGCTTTCAACATCCACCTTTTTGTGCACTCGAACAATGAATAATGTTTTATAGCGGATAAAAAGCAGGTGTTGACATGTCCCGTGGGGTGGTTAGAGTGAAAAAATATAGATCAAGGGATAATGGTGTCGTCAGTTTGAACGATTACATATTTAACTGCACTGTCGTATAAAGGGAGTTTGAAATGAGAATGTGCGCACACAAAGTAATATGGGGAGTGATTATTGATCACGTAATAGGCGAGAAAAATAAAAAAGATAGCAAGAACAACGCTTACTCATGTGCAACTATCAAGGGTCGACAGGATACAGAAATCCAGTTTCTATAGTAGTAGCGTTTATTAAATTTCGTGCAAGGCGTTTGGAATGACTCATTCTCGAGTAGGGTTATGGCACTGTCCACTGTCTGTTGTGCATTAGTGCCAGCAACTTATGGTCATTAGCTATAGCACGTAGTGTAAATGTGACAGAGTTTCCTCAAGGCATCTTTTGAAAAGGGAGAGGGTGGGTGCATTAATTACATGTTCCGGGAGGGCGTTCCAAGGCTCTGACACCCGAGGGAAGAAAATGTTTCGCCGACATTCCATTCGGCTATACTGCGTGACCAGTTTAAACTGATAACCTCTTAGCGGGGTGATTTGACTGAGCGTCAGAAGGGAATGGCATGGGTGGTTGGAGTTTCTCAGGATTTGGCACACCATTATGTGATCGCCCCTTAGACGCCGATAATCTCCATTGTATATTTTGAGGGTCTTCAGCCTGAGTGGGTAGGGGAGGCTGGTCAAACCTCTGACGCTCTTCGTTGCCCTACGTTGTGCAGTATCGAGCTCGGTGAGACGGTGTTTGAGCTAGGGTTGCCACGCTTGAATGGCGTACTCCGCGTGCGGCCTCACGTACGCACTAAGCATTTTTGGGAAGACTGAAGGGTCAAACTTCCCGTAAGCTCTGCGAAGAAGGCCGAGATATTGGTTCGCTTTCTTAGCTGCCCTTTCAGTCTGCCTCAAACAACCGAGGTCGTCTTGAACTAGCACGCCGAGATCGCACTCGTGAGAAGCCCGCTGTAGAATTTGTGGTCCTTGGCGGTACTTGTGCATACTCTTGTGCCGTATACTGAGAACTTTGCACTTGGTGACGTTGAAATGCAGCATGTTCTCGATGGACCATGTGTACGCTTTGTCCAGGTCCTCCTGTAAGAATGTGTGATTCTCCACTGCAGCTATAGTACACCATACCTTTAGATCATCAGCAAATAGCAAACAGTTAGAAGATAGCACGCTCGCGAGATCATTTATGAAGACCAGGAACAGGCGAGGTCCACGTACCGAGCCCTGAGGTACGCCGCAATGAATTTCGATGGATTCTGATAGGTTGCTTCTAACCGCCACATTCGGGTGACGTTGCAGGAGAAAGTCTCCTATCCAGCCCCGAAGAGGATCGTCGATTCCATATTTCTGGGTTTTGTGGAGGATAATGCGATGGTCTATATGGTCGAATGCCTTTGAGAAATCCAAGTAGGCCGCGTCGACTCCTATACCAGCGTCCACAGATTCCGTCCAGTTTGCACGAGCAATCAACAGATTAGTGGTACAGGAGTGATTTTGGCGAAATGCGTGCTGCTCCGGAACGAAAATTTTGTTGTTCTCCAGGTACCCCATCAAAGCCTCAGCTACAATGGGCTCCATAACCTTGGAGCTCACAGGAAGGAGTGTTATCGGGCGATAATTTGTTGGTCCAGCTCAGCTGCCACCTTAATAACTTGGTGTGATGATTCCATGCTTCCACGTCGTGGGGAAGTGCGTCTCGTTCAGATATCGTTAAAAGAAAATTGCTAGTGGCGCCGCCAAACTCATGACAGCAACTTTCAACGCCTTCGGGCGAATGCTGTCAGCACCTGGGTAGCTGAACTCGCGCAGAGACATCAGCCTCTTCAGTACAGCTGCGGAGGTGAGCGATATGTGATTAAGCTCTGATGGCGGCATTATCTGCCTAGGCAGGATGCATGGTGATTGCACGCTTTGGAAGGTACGACCACATTGTTGTCCAAGAACGTTGGCCGCCTCTTGTGCGTTTTGGGCTAACCCGCATGCTGTGTGCAAAGTACGAATATCGCTCTTAAAACGGCGCAAATTGTTTACGTGTCTATGTAGCAGTTTGGGAATGGAGCAAAACTTTTCCACCATAGCTCTTCAGTTTATCCTCCTGGACAGGTTTGACAGAGTGGCTCCTTTTATTGTGTAGACCTCCCAGGTGTCGTCGTTCGGGGAAGCTATGTAGGTGCGCCATGCCAAGTGCCTTAATGCCATGCATTTACGTGTCCTGCTCGTTACGAAAGACTTCGTCCTTTTAGGCCAGTATAGTTTGGTTTCAGATGTCTTTGCCACGAGCTTGTTAAATATGTTGACGAATTCTCCGCAGGCCACTTGGAACACTGTCAGAAGCAGGAAAACAGGGCTCTGGTATTTTGATGCTTGAACGCATTATTTCGGCTGTGAAGCAAAACTGAACCCATTCACAATTATTTTCAAGATGCCAGAAGCTCTGAGACCTGCCAGATTTCTCTAGCAAAGAAAAACGGTAGAATCAATGGGACATGCCGCATTGGCAGTGTTATGCTCAGGTACATTAATAGTACAGCCATGGAAAAATTTAACCATTAATAATGTAAGAAGGCACGGTGCTTTCACTAAGGGTTTGATAAACCAATCAAGTTATTCCGACAGACAATCACACCTGATCGAGCGTATGCCCTTATACAACCCATTGATCATCCGCGGCCAAATGCTATTGAGGGCTTTAGCGGTCCACAACCACTACAATTCGTTCACTCTGCCCTTGTGCACAGTCAACAATGGTCCTCGAGTTCTCTTTTGGACTTCACAAATGTTTACCCAGCGGTACGAATGTCGGAGAATAATAAACTCTCAGCATCGCTAGCGCAATTGTCAGCCTTAGCTATGGGTTCTGTTTGCTATTCCTAGCCCCAGTAATCTTCTCGCGGTACACATCTTACCACAGCTTTATCCAACAAACCACAATATCTTTTTTTTGCTGTGTACTCTATACTTTAGATGGGATAATGTAGCGGGGTGACCCAATCTTATACTCAGTTATATGGAATGAAATCTATGAGCAGTAATTTCAGTTGTGCTGGAGTTAAAACTTAACGCTCTACTCGGTAAACGGGTTGGATAAATCAACTCTGCTCTTCTTCCACTCAGCTGAAGAACGTGCCAACCTCTTATCGAACAGTTAATAGACAATGGATACTGACGGAACCAGCTGTCTTCCTTCACCGGCTCCGTGGATTTTATACATTCGACCATGCGTATCTCAACAGCACCCACGTCGTTCAGTACAGTTGAACTGAACTCTCCCATTCGGGAGAGGCCAGGGTCGATAACTCGTAAGAGGAAGGTCTTTGGCCTAGATTCAGTAGGTCAAGACGACCGGTTAGCGCTTTTCAGATGCACAGTGGCGGTTGAACTGAAACATGCTTTCTCAAAAGTGCACACACGAAAGCCCTGCCAAGTGCTGTTTGATGACGGACTAATATTTTGGCTCTTGGTTTCACGAGTTTATAAGACTTTAGTTACACGGCCAGCTTTAGGTTAGCAAGGCAACGGTTATCTCCGGCAAACGACTTGGTACGACCCGTTTCCTGTGTACCTAGAACTGCACGCTATCATGGACCGTCAGTCGTCGTATAGTGGGTTGCCTACGAACATGAGTGACTTGTTCACTTCAGGTGTCAACGGGAGGTATAAGGCTTAAATCCGTCAGTAATTTTGCTCCAGAAAGCTTGTGGGACAAGCGGTAAAGTCATGCATATTGGAATTGCACACGTTGACGTGAGCTTACTCAAGTCAAGCCAAGAATGCGCTTTTATGCACCGTGACGGGTGAATTTTCAGCCTTGACACACTACTATACGACATAATCTAAAAGCAATTCAAAAGCGGCTGAACAACGGGCAAGAGTAAAAGCGCAAGGAAAAACGTAACTTCACAGGCAGAATTTACCGACCAATTCTTGAATAATATCGTTTTGGTCAAATAAAAATCTGGCTAAATAAGAGATGACTGATAAATCGTGCGGGCATCTATAGCTCTGTACTTTTATCTGATCGACGAAGTAGATGTACAACTGGAAAGTGCCGTGTGAAGAGAGTGGTTAATCTAAGTGAGTATTTTGGTAGCAAATTTAATGCATGATTCAACGTGCGCCACAGTTGTTTTTGCCAAAGTTAGCTTTGGTATACCACCGCAGCGAAACAAGTGCTTCAATGGCCTGTCAAGCAGCTTGAAATACTTACACGGTAGGCCTGGAAAATTCACCGGAGAACAATAAGCCCAGCGTGATAGACTGCACGTATTGATACACTTCAGAATCAAATTGTATGGTACGCAGATGATCACAATCGGGCAACGTAAAACAAAAGTCGCCTGACTTTGGTGACATTTGATTCACATGGAGTGATCATGATAGATCGTGGCTCTGTGTGACTTGACTGACGTACAGAAGCTCAAACTGTCACGTTCAATCTGAAGTTTGGAACATTCCGTGACAAGTTCCTGGT